AAACTTAACCGAATCGGCCGAAAAATCATTCGGCTAATTTTTATCAGGTGTTTCAGGAATTATGATAATAGCTGTAAGGTTAGTGTAATTTATAAAAAATTTGTCGGTGAAATAAATAATAGTGAAATTAGTGTTCCGCACGGACCAGTTTCGGGTGGGTTTTTTTTTGAAGAGTCGAATCCGCATATATTTTATTTATTTACTGCTATTTTCAAAATTCCTGGAACACCAGATAAAAATTGACCGAATGATTTTCGGCCGTTCCGATTAAGTCATTGATTTCACATGATAGATACGATCTAAATTACGGTACATAAATATACATTGTAATTTGATTATATATATATGTTTTCGCATTAAAAAACATAAACTATTCAATAAAGACCGAGGCCAGGCCTCACTCTCAAAAAAAATATATATATATATATATGTTTTCGCACAAACTAAGCTGTTGAGCAAGTGTTCAAATGAAAATTTAATAATACTAAACGTGTCGCATTTAAAATTATCTGCAGAACTAGTATAATGGCTTTTATATACGGGGTAGAAATTTGCGTAATTTTACATATAAGTTTCCGGGGATTAAATATAGTATAGGTGACGTTAATAAATAATCATTTAAAGTAGGTGTCACCTATACTATATTTTATCCTGCTGGTAAAACTTTCGCACTATTTAATTGCTAATATAAAACTTTCACACTATTAAATTGCTAATGTAAAACTTTCGCACTATTTAATTGCTAATGTAAAAGTTACATACGTATGTACTGTACTTACGTGCATACGTACAATTTTGCATTTTTATTGAATCTATTATTCCGAAATTACAAACTTAATCGAATCGGCTGGAGTACCATTCGGTCAATTTTTATCAGGTGTTCCAGAAATTATGAAAATAGCAGTAACTTTGTGTGCAAGCTTTATTAAAGCTCTGGATAACGTTATTTACATCACAAAAATTACATATCAGAAATTTACACGCAAATTTCCACCCTATATACTGATATATCCCTATACCCCTATATATAAAAGACATATGCATTATATATGATACTTTTCCTACGATAATTTTAACATTATAAAATGTCAGCACGTTCAGTCTTACAATTTTCGTTTAATACTTGCCCAACATGGTTAGTGCTGTAGTATGTTAGTACATATATATTTCAAATTATATACAATGTAATTTATATAGCATAAATTGTAATTTAAATGTATATAACGTAACATAAATATAAATCGTTATGTATCGATTATGCCGAAATCAACAACTTAACCGGACGTCCAAAAGCCATTCGGTAAATTTTTATCAGGTGTTTCAGAAATTATGAAAACAGCTGTTACGTTAGTCGGGGTCGAATTTCAGACCGACACGAGAGTGCAGCCAATCAACGTGCATATTTTGATTTCAACGAAAGTTCCGGGAACGGACCCAGATTCGATCCGAGGGTCGGTTCTGGGTCTGATGTCTGTTTGTGAAACACCAAGTGAAATAAACTTGGCGAAATAAGTGTCGGTGAAATATACGAAATATACATGTCGGTGAAATGTTGTGTCTATGAAATGGGTGTCGGTGAAGTGATACAGAACCATAATTACAAATGTATGAGTTTTTATTTAATGAAAAAAGTTTATAAATATTTAGATAAATTTTCAAAGTTTTGCTTTATTATAAAATTATTATTATTAAATATAAATACAAGAATATTTTTGCTTATATTACTTTTTAGTATTTATAAATTTGAATAACACGCATTCCAATGAGGAGGGGTCCGATCTATCATGTTATGCTTACTACATAACTCACTTTTTAATTGTACCCAAATGGCTCTAATTTGTTTTAATTGGTCTTCATTGATATTTGTTTGATCAATTGGCCACCACTTTGGATAATTTGTTTGAATAAATGCTCCAAACGAATGACCATTAAATTCTTCACATATATCATTTTGATATATTGGATCGGTGCATATATTCAAACTTGCCTCATTTAAACTATTTTTTACCCCAGTAAAGCTAACCATCAAATGAATCGATGCTTTGTGAGGTATATCAGAATCATGTTCTGCCAATTCACATTTTGATCTGTAAAAGTTTTGATTATAAACAAATTTAAAGTATAATTAATATAAATTTTGTTTACTTATTTTTGATCATCGTATTTATACTTACCCACATAATGGACACCGTTCCTGACATCCGATAACTCTACTACAATATAATGATCTGTAATTTTCAACCTTGATTATCATTGTATTCTTACTATGATTTTTAATTTTATCTTTCCACTTATTTTTAAACTCTGGAATCATTATATCAACCATTTCTTCCAGGCATATCAAAAATCTTGAAGGATATTTGACAACGCACTTTATTATATTGTCAGACCCTTGAGGCTTTTCCTTTATCAAAGTTTCCAACAATGTTCCCTTTGATAAGCGAAGGATTTGTTCAATATTAGGACTTATATAAGAAGATTCATATGTAGGTCGAGAAGAATAATGTTGTTTACATCTTGAAATTATTTCCTTTAATTCACTCTGCATAGTATTAACAATATTCATTTCTATTTCTTCAATCTTTTCGTCTATTTTCATATTTTTAATTATTTCAATCTCTTCATTAAATAATTTTTTCATAAATTTTATGGGATTTTCAATATAACTACGACTATTTTCCACGTTGTGAGATCCAAAACTTCGTTCATATGCGATATTTGTGATTTTATAATTATCGTTATTAAAATGTTTATCCATAAGTTCAGAGACAATATTATAAGGATTATATAGCTGCTTTTCAAAAGATTGAAAAATGTGTTCAAGAAAACCGCATGATAAATATTCATAATATGTTTCACTTTTTAAGTCAACAAAAAATTTCCACAAATTTTTCCTATATTCATCAAGCTCTTTTTGTTGTGTATCTTTCCATTTTTTAGTATTTGCGTCCAGTCTTTTAAAAACTTTAAGTCGTAAATATTGCTAAAATACATTGAAATAAAAAAATTAGTAAAATAAAAATGAAAAATTAGTTTAAAATAAAAGAAACTACCTCCATCGGTTTAAAATCATCTATTTTAACAATAAAATTATTTTGAGAACTATTTAATTCCTTCTGCAGTGTAACAAATATATTATCGCATAGCCTTTGAATCCATTCTAATGCTTGATTGAATTCAATTGCTAACATATTATTATTTTGAATTTCATTAGAAATTTGTTTGCAAGTCTTTTTAATTGATGTCTTAATTGTTCTAATGGCAGCTTGTTTTAAAATTCCCCTTTTGACGTTATTGATATATCCAGCTATCCCAGCTGAATTTTGTTCTACAATGAATTTAAATTTAAAACTACTTAAAAATTCTGAATTCTTTAAAAACTTTGTTCGTACTAGAATTGATGGTTTCTCGAGTTTAGACCAAAAAATTCTATCAAATTGTTTCTTTGATTCATCCTCAGAACTGACCATACTCACACCATCTGTAATTGCTTTATTGAAACATGTAACTACCTGCTCCTCCAGTATCTTTGTTTCTGATAACATACTATAAGTAAAAGCTTTTTTGTCTGCTTCTATATATTCCCATTCAGAATTAAAATAATGATCACATTCAGACAAGTTTTTTTTAACTTTTCCTAATGTTTTTTCATCTATTACTTGTTTTAAATTTTCATTGATCTTTATTTTTGCAGATTTGATAAGCCATGAATCTTTTAGAGTTCGACGCTTTATCATATAAATTGCTTGAAGTTTACGTTTCTCTGATATAAATGTTGACGTTATATAAGTCTTTCCTTCTTCAATTAACATATGATCATACTCATCTGATAGGTTTGCAAGGAAATTTGAAATCGTTTGTTCACATAATGTATCCGTTACTTTAGTGAGAGCCGTTTCAAATTTAGCATCATCATCTTCGGACCATTGATCAGATTCTATTTCATCTATTAGATTTAAAATTTCCTCTTTATAAGGTTTTAGATATGATTCATCATTAATTCTGACTAACTTTCGTATTGAATTACATTGTTGTATCATTTTGAAGTTTTTAAGATGAAGAAAATTTCCACGTGCATTAATTTCTTCCCATATAGATTGCATGTATAAAATGAATTCTTATGGATAAATATATTGGTATCAATGTTTTTATCTTGTATAATTCTTAATGAAACGAATTTTTCTTACCATCTATATTTTTATAGTCATGAAGTTCATTCTCATTTGAGGTCAATGCAGATGTAAGTAATTCCACTCTAAGCTTAGATACTTTTGATGGAAACGTTTCCTATATAAACATAATTTATATTAATAATGCTAGTGTAAATTTATGATATTAAAGATGTATAATTTCACACACACATATATGTACGTATGTAAAGATTCATACCACAGGATAATAGATTTTTTCACCGTTACTATGACTATTTGGCTTTGAATTTGGATAAAATTCATCAAGATTGCAAGAAAAAATATTTTCTAAAGAATAAATATTTTTCTCTTCTATTATCATAAGACCTTCCATGCTGTAAGCACATCCAGGAATTTCGGTAAACATTTTTTTCAGACCTTCACGTATGTCATTAAACGCGGTTTGCTGGACACTTATAGCATCAATCATGTCACGTAATACAAAATTGATCTTTGGTTTAAAATTTCGTTTGATTAAAGTATCCATATGATAAAAGGAAACTTCAAGAATATCTGATATGTCTTGTGTAAGACTTTTAGTATTAAGAATTACAATTTGCGAACATAATATCGCTAATAATGTAATTTTTTTGTCAAAATCAGTACGTCTAGAGGTGAATTTCTCAACCTCAGAACAAATTCCCTCAAAATCTAAAACTAAAAAGTTCATTTCTTTTCCTTCGAATATTGTATGCCGATATGACATGTATGCGCCTGTTATAAAATATTATAATACTTATAAATTGCAATGTTTTATAAACTGAGGCATCAGATACAAATAAAGTCAAAACTTGCCTTTGGTACTATTAACAAACACGTAGTAAATATTAATATACTGTTGCATATTATAAAGCAAATTATAATAAGTTAAAATTACATACCGTCTTTCAGTTGAAGTTGTTGAAGTTTGAAATAGGTAATTCAATAATGTAGATTTCCCAGAGCCTTCAGGCCCAATAACTGAAAGAACAATCAATTGTTTATTACTAGGAATTATTTGACTAAAAAGGTCCAAAAGAAATTCCGAATTCAATGTCCTAAGTGAAACACTCTCTAAAATTTGAATTGCTTCACCCTCACATATCCAAGTTTTATATGCTGTTTCTAGTTGACTAAAATAAAAATTAAGAATCAATCATGCTATATTAATTTAATATGATAATAGAGCTTAGATACTCACATATTATCAATATTATAAATTGATTTTAAAGCCGTTGAATATTTTTTCTTTATTTGAGATAGAATAATAAACTCTCTCCAAAAATCATGAATAGTGATATCTCTATCTTCTATTTGATGTTTTATTTCATTTTTTTGAGCATTTTGTTGAGCATTTTGTTGATCATTTTGGTTTATTTCATCACTTTTTAATGCAAGTTCATGGAGATGCGCTTTAAAGAATATATCAACTTGACGGAAAAATTCACGCATGCAAGTTATACTGTTTTTTTTGACAATCTGTGCAAAACCTTTAAGGACTGGTATTGGATCAGAACTACAAAGGCTTTTTTGAAGTTCTTGAAATTTTTTTATTTCACTATCGATCTCATATTCTGTTATATAAGCTTCAGAGTTTTCTAAAGTCTTTAATCTTGTTTGATCCTTCAGGGTTTCTATTTCATTAGAATAATAAGAAGCTTTGAAAATATCTGCACGACAATTAAAGGTAGTAGCTTCCATCAATGTAGAGAATGAGTTTTCCGCAACATAATTTTTATCAAACAAATTATGAAAGATATTTGCCGACAAATAAAAGTCTGAGGTGTTCAAAAGCTTCTGAAATGATAATTCTTTGATTTCTTTAAAAATAAGTGACTTTTTTTCCTCATTAATAATCTCAACTCGAATTTGATCATGAAAAAATTTCTTTATCAATAAATCTAATACACTTTGTTTACGTTTATTATATATTCTATCCTCCTCATTTAATCCCCAAAAAAGGACTGAAATAATTCTTGAACACGTGCTATGTTTTTCAATGGAAATGTCATTTATAATTGTTTTAAATTCATCATTTGGTTCAATTCCATCAAAATTATCATCAAAAGCATGAATCACAATATAAAATGCAGACTTGGATAATTCGGTCACCATATTTTGAAAAATATTTGAATTGGTTTTGTCATAATATATTTCCGAAATAGCTAATGGAGGACGTGCATGATTTTTGGAGGCAGCATGAAAAGAAATATCAATAGAGCCAGGATTACAAATACCTAAACAATCGTCGCGATGATTTGAATAAGATTGATAAAGTTGTTTTGTAAATGGTGGCTTCATTTTTGAGTTTTCTTGGTTCACGGATATGAAAAGATGGTATTTGCAAGTATCTATTATATCATACATTGCGTCTAATATTCTAAGACCTTTTTCAAAATGTACCATGTCATTTGGAAGAAATATTGGAATAGGAATGTTGGCATAGACGACAGTATTAAGAAACTTTGGAAGAGATTTTATCGAGACTTTATCAAGAAAAGCTATAAAAAAGTCTCTGCCAGTACATTTCTTTAATTGTTGGAGAATTCCTTTTGGATCGTTGTGGTGATTATTTTCGTTATTGAAATCATTTACATAATTAGCAAGTTTGGTTATTGAAATGGTTCTGTTAATATTATCAACGAGATATGGAAATAATTTGCGAAAAATTCCTCTTGGATTTGGTTCACACAAAGAAGGTTCAATAAGTGAGATAAATAATTCGTAAGTCAATTCTTCTGTCACAAAACTATTAGGATCTAATTCGATTGGACTCAGTCCAAACGAAAGTTCAAAAAAATCTGAAATATTAAGATCTGAATTCTGACTTGCCATAGCTAAAAGTAATTTGTTATTTAATGTGTTTTTTTATAAAACTATTTTAAATTTATATTAATAATTTGTTTATATAAAACTTTATACTGATTGATTTAATATACTTTAAAGTTTTCGTGTAAGTGAATTTATCTTGTGATACATTTTTTAACGCCGATGTTATATTTCTTACAAACATTATTACTATTGGAAATTAATAATACTTAAATTATTTGTTTGATCAATTCCAAATACAGTATACATGCAAAATTAAATTGCAACATAATGTATAAACACATGATGTGTATTTAAACGTTTTTAATTTTTTCTCTATTTTACGAAGTGATAACTGGTGTTATTTATGTGTACCACATTTATATATGCAATAAGTATCTGTGCGACGTTGTTACGCAAACCTGTAACTAATCGTAATAACAGAATTAGGTGTGAAATGAAACAATTGTTTGGTTGTGTTAAGCGGTGTTACGATTTAAGTTAGTAGTTGATAATCAGGGGTTGTAATTTATTTAGTACGAAAGTGCATTTATTCTAGATCAGTTGGTATGATTGTAAATGCATAAACACTTATCCAAATCAAGTATTTAAGAAAGCTCTAGAACCTTAATAAAAAGGAGGATAACAAATACTCTCCACAAGCATCTAACATATATTTATTACCCGTTAACCACCAGGGTTAAATTATGCATATATGTGTTGTTTAGATAGTAAACTAGATCGAAAGAAGGTTACACAAGCGTAAATACTAATATGGGATGGATATTTAATACTAATTTCAAGTTATTGAGTCATTCTTTTCAAAGAACACAATGCTGCTAAAGAGTTCTCAAGCGTATCACAGAACGACCTGGTTGATTAATAAAAATTGATGATAATCACTTTAATCAAAAAATCTGGAACAATGACCACCGAATCTTTTCAAAAGATTTGCTCTGATTGGTTGAGCAACATCTCGATTACTATCAAATTACATTAAGAAAGCTGTTTTAGATACCCAAAGTTAGCTAGCATTAATATAATGCTGGTTGATCAAGTCAGGACTATGTCTTTTCTGGAAAATAGCTTTCGGATGCTGTAATAAAAAAGCAAATACTGTATATAATTTATTGTATACAATAAATAGGGAAAATCTATTTTCACTCGGGTTAGAGTCACCTGATATATAATTATTTATTATATTATTTAATAGAAATTTATATAATGTTATTAAAACTCATCTACCCTAATCGCTAATATACAGAATTATATATATATATATATATATAATATAATATCAGGTAAGGTGAAAATAGAACGTTCAATAAATAATGTGAGAAAGTAATTGTTGCGGCTAAAGATGGAAGTTAAAGTCCTCGATTTAAAAATATAAACCCTGACAAAAATCACTTATACTCTTTTATTATCAAAGCTAACACCTAACTACAAAAAAGAGTAAAAAAATACGCCCCAAAAAATTCTTTTGAAGATTTCATATTAAAATATTTAAAATTTTTAGCCTCAGCCGCGACAATAATTATTGAACACTGCATAGTATAACGATTCTATGTTTATCCCTTAAACCGTAAACTGATCTGGGCAAATTTCCCTGCAAAAATTTTTCCAATAATTGCGCATATTTACCTGTTAAAGTCATGTATTTAAATGATCTAATTAAGTTATGGATGTGCCTTTAGAATTTGTCGGATATCGGAATTTTAAACCGGTGGAATTGGCACACCCAGGAGCATCACGAGTGAAGTATAAACTTGGCTTTTGCAGGGCTATTTCACAAAACTAAAAAGAAAATAATACAAGCCTGTGATTGGCTAAAATTTTCAGTTAATTTTACTCAGCGAATTTCTGGTAATGTGTATGTTTTTTTCAAACTTTGAGCAAAAATATTTCGATGTTATCCTGGGCATTTCGATGTTTAGAATCATTTTTGAATTCTACTAGCCTGTATAATTTGATAATAACTTCAAACATCAAAATATACAAGACATTTTGGAGATACTTTCGTTCAAAATTTGTAAAAATTTACGAGAACTCGAATACAAACTAACCCTACAAATTATCTGGACCACATATTATGTGTCACTATAGCGAGCAAGTTTTGTAACAGAATTTTTTTTTATTTACAGTAGTCACAGTTGAAATCGACTGGGGTAAAATTGCCACCCCAAAAAGTTTCGAAAATCATGTAATATTGTCAATTCATCATGATTAGGATCATGATAATAATATTTAGTAAAATATTAATTGATTTAATAAATGATTTTTTTTCCGATTCTTCAAAATGACAAACCAAATGATTCTTTTAAAAAACATAAAATCCAATAAACACAATATTCTAAAAATATACATTGGTTGCCGTAACCAAATTTCCACTAATAAACGAAAAAAAGAATGTAAATCGAAATAAAATTATAAAAACTAATCAAGAAAATGCAATTCGCCAGAAAGCTTTGTAAATTTTATTTTTAATGCTCTTTCCGGAAGACTATAACTCTGATTATTTATTTGAGCAAAAAGTTTTTATAATTCTGAATCCAGAACACAACAAAGTGAATCCGAATGGTAACAAATAATTAATAGTATTAACAAATACTTTGAGCCATTGAATAAATTGGAGGGGGATTATAATCATATTAAAGGGCAATGAAATCTTCAAAATACTTAGGAAAACCGTAATCATAATATTTTCTAATTGTAATTATTACATTCATTGAGTTTATTCGAAATTAATAAAATGATTAATTTATTACTTATTGGGCTGGAGCGGAGGGGAGCGGAGTGGAAGACCTTTGAGCCATACTGGGGTGTTTCATACTAAATGATTTACTATCATAGTGCAGCACAATATGATTGACGCACTATGTAAGATTTTTGAGATTTTGTCGATCAATT